CACGACGAAAGAGAGAAAGAATGGGTTAATGAAAAATGATAGAAGAAAAAAAATACAGTAAGGAGAGAGAGGGAAATAGAGTGGGAAAAAAGAGATAAAAGAGAGAAAAGTGAAAAAAAGGTAAATACATGATTTCACGTTTTAGAAAACTTTGTGTTTTGAAAGTTAAATGAGAAACTTGCTATACGGAGTACCTATTCCCTCAAATTTCCCTTCGAAATCCAAGAAGATTTCTTCCCTCCACTCATGTATCTGTTTCTATTAATAAACTGTGCTTTTTGTTCCAATCAGTCAAAAGATTTGATTCTGCAAGAACTTTTTTAACTATAAAAATGTTCTGCCCATGGGCGTGCTGCCCAAGCAAACTAAAGGATGGACCAATTACATCACTCCACATTACACTCTCCTTTCGAGGCTTCCGCCTTCAGAACAATCAAATTGAGAGCCACCCACTTTTCCACCCAGAGAAGTCACCGGCGGAAAGAGTTGGGAAAATGGAGAAGACTACGAGCGGCACGGAGGCGCCGGTGCCGAGAGTTGCGGTGGTGGTTTACATCCTCAAGGGAAACTCGGTGCTATTGGGTCGACGGCTGTCTTCCGCCGGCGACTCCAGCCACTCCACCTTCGCACTCCCCGGCGGCCATCTCGAGTTCGGTAATTCCCTTTTCAACTCGAATTTTCTCTGAACCAAAACCAAAACCAAAACCAAACTAAAACCACATCCAAATCAATTTGCTTTTGGGTTGCAGGCGAGGCGTTTGATGAATGTGCCGTGAGAGAGGTGAAGGAAGAGACAGGCTTGGACATTGAGAAAACAGAGTTTCTGACTGTCACAAACAACCCCTTTCTTAATGATCCAAAGCCTTCCCATTATGTCACCATCTTCATGCGTGCGGATCTGTCTGATGCTCAGCAACAGCCCCAAAATTTGGAGCCAAGCAAGTGCGGTGGATGGGATTGGTATGACTGGAGTCACCTCCCAAACCCTCTGTTTTGGCCTCTGGACAAGATGGTCAGGAGTGGGTTTAATCCATTTCCTGTTTGATCATCACACTTTTACTGCCAACCAAAATACAATACAAGGTGCGCCCATGTGGTTAATTTGAACCTTTGTCTCTGTATCGTTTTTACTAGTTGTAAGTTTCAATGTTTGTGGAGAAAGAGTTTATTAGCTTACTAGTTTACTTGTCTGAAATGTACGTATCATGATTTTTATCATATATAAGAATCTGATAATCATTGATTAGAAAAAAATCTTAGGGAGCTTAATGATTGAGTTTGTGCATCCTGAGTTTCGATTATTGATCCTACTTTGGATAAGTAGTTTGTTTATTTCACAAGTTTGTTAACCCCAAAAAATTGTTGAATTTAGGAAATCATCTTGGGCAATAAGTGAACGTAGCCGGGATCTAATTGACTTGTATCATCCTGATCAAATTGCCTTGTGATCTCTCTACTTAATCTGATTTTTTACAAGTGAGAATGTGTGGTAGGCGCTACATATGTTAAGAAAAACGTTATAACCCTTTTTAGATACAAGCAAGGGTTACTAAAACAAATTGCCTCTTGTGAACGTTGAATAAAAAATTCTCCTTTCTCTTTATTCTAGGAGCTCTATTGAGACTCAACTTGTCTCCTTTAGTGACTTGAGTATGATCTAGTGCATAAATCCAGCCAAAACTGTTCTGCATATCTCTTCAATGGAAATCCGAAGGATACTTTTAAGAATAAATGAATAATATCATAGTACCGATATTTCCAACATAAAAGAGATGACCCCTAGATCTTTTCATTAGGAATTTCTTGGTTTCATGGAACATTACTAAATCGGTGTGATATAATGTATGTCATAAACTCAATGCACACTTGAAAAATATATTTACTCTCACTTGTTGTCAATCCAAGCATAACTCAAGTTGATAAGACACCTCTTACAATCTCTTAAGATGGTCGCCTTGGCATCATTGAAATAAAAAAAGAAGAAGAAGAACCCTTGTAATTCATAGTCATCTACTATATCTCTAAACCAAATGAGATAATCATTTGGACCTATTAGAATTACACGTATAAAATTTCCTTATTGAGATCAAAGATGGAATTATTAATTGTATAATCTTTATATCTATCTGACACATCGCAAAAGCAAAGTATACTACAATTGATATCAACTTGTCAGTTTCGTTAAAAGAGCCCTTCAATAAAGCTGAAGAGAAATCTCCTAATGATCAATGTCTACGTGATTGAGTAAAACTATGATGATTAGATAAGCCTTATATCTCATCGCATTTTCCATAATAGGCAAAATGTGATAAGATACTCAATATTGTCATTTTTATTTTTGAGTACAACATGTGTGGATGGAGATTCAAACTTAGTMTTTTTGGTCAAAGATAGGTGTCTTAACTAGTTGAGTTATGCTCAAATTGTCTATTCAATATTGTCATTACTTATGGTTTCACCTCATTCCTTATGACAATATGTTTTGAAATATAAGACTTTGTTTGACTTTATAGAAAATGATTAGATGATCTTTCTTTTGCTTTGTCTCAAACTAATGTACTTAGAGATATATGAGTTAGCTGCTCATCTCTTGTGATTATCTAAATGACACTTTTGACAATGTTGAAGTGTTCAATTGAAGTGAGGGAAAATGATCTCTTCTTGTCAAAATAGAAAAGAACTTCAATTTATCTTAGCTTCTTAAATAAATTCTTCCTCACTTTATATATCTTCCTCCTCCAAACCTAACATTCTCAAGATACTTTAATATCTCAACCAAACTAGACACTTAAGCGGAAATTTGAGGTGCAAGTCATGAGAATGACCGGTATATTTAGAGTGACAACTAAGTCTTTTAAGTCCAAATTTCTTTATTGCCTTGAAGATCAAGTATTAGTTGGAAATCCATAGATGTAAAGAACCTTATACTAAGCATTTTCATAATAAGATGTTTTAGTTGTGTCTCAAATGATACTCTATTTAAACTTTCTAAGTGGTTCTTCCAATAAAACTCCAAGCAAGCAAGAATACTTTGTAATACTTGTCATCACATCTTTATGAAGTTTTAGAACCATTCTTCAAGTAGCACTTCCCTTGTTTGCCTAAAAGTATGTACTACTTGATGATTCTAAAATCCTTGAAAGGAGTTAGCAAAAGGACCCTAGACCATCTTCTCCCGATTCATCATATTTTTTCAGTGTGATACCACTAAAAACCAACTTAGATGACTTTTAAGATGTTTAGCAATAAAATAATGTTATTTACTTTATTTAGCTTGGGTGATACCAATGATGACAATCATAACTTTGATAAAGTCCACAAGCGATTGTGCGGCACTTACTCCTGCTCACAAATGAGTGGTGCAACTGAAAGGGCCACAGTTGATGACACAACGGGCCTATCTAGCAACCTCTAGCCATGTTTTAAGAAAAAACGGTTTTAGAAAACGTCGATAGAGAAACATTTAGAAAAGCATTTGAAAATGTTTTGGAAAGCACGTTGTATAACTTTAAAGCAATGATGAAAATAATTGCTAAGCAAGTATACAACTACTTGAGGTAGGAAGGTGACTAGGGTGTACCTCTGTATCGTATATTGTAAAGCATTGTACCACTAGCAAATGAAGAGTCACTCGCCACCAAAATTACAATTAAAAACGAAAATAGGTCTATCTTGTGGAGGTAATAAATTGGATCAATGGTCGATTTCTAAGAACAAGGAAAAGCTTAAAGGAAGCACAAAAGCATGTGAGAGAAGAGGTTTGTCATGGGCATACAGCCGTAAACAATAAGTCCTGGACGGGCATGATTATGACACCGGACAGCGTGCACATGCTTGGCGTGAGGTGAACTTGGCAAGCAATAGTGTGGAGAATGCAGTGATGTGGGTAGTGGCGTGGGGTTGCTACGATTGCTGGCGCACAATGGGCATTAGGCCTTGTCTTTTAGGATTGTTGGTGAGGTTATTTTAGCGTCTAAAAAAGAGGTTGTTAGTGTTGTTAGCATTCTGATTATGACTTGAGGAAGGCTAAATGCGAGAAAGTGGGTCACAAATTAAGTGTATGTGAGCGTCGGTTACTTGGTTTTTCGAACTTAGTATTGTTCGTCCATATTGTTTACTTTTAAAGTTGATTAAGAGATACTTAGAAACTTATTAACGGTTGTACTAGAAATAAGAACGAAAAAAAAACAAACTTATTCAATATCAATATGACTATTTGTTTGTGCCCGAAATTGCTGAGCTCGGATGTAATGTAGATCGGAACGTTCAGGATGAACTGCGACCAACGGTCCAACACCTTCCCAGAAGACTCTGGAGTCCTGCAAAACAAGGTTAGCACTCAGACGAGCAAGTCAGTTCTGGGCCGAGCTAACTTGCCGAGTCTATCTAGGATTGCGTACCTTGCATTTAAGGCAAAGGTTTCTATTTATAGAAACTGGGCCTGACAGGGGTTCTGACACACCCTAAAATCGCGGCGTGTTGTCGGGTACGGAAGGGACACTGTTACGGACTTTGTATCGGCTCAGCTCGGCACTATAGGTCCTACCCTGACTGCCGACCTGAGTATTTTGGAGCCGCTTTCTCCATTTCACCCGCGTGTTTAACTAACTCACCTTTTCGATCATGACACGTGGCAGGTCAGGATTCGCCTCCAACACTATTTAAAATAATTTTTATTATTATTCCTTTGTAAACGAAAGTTCAAAACTAATGTTAAATTTTTCAGGAAATAAAGGTTTATGGTTTGTATCCAAAACATATCTAGGGAAACAAAAATAAAAACTAAATAAAAGAATGCATTCAAACTCATTTACAATTCGACTCAAAATAAATCAATTTTAATTGAAGATTTAATGCAAAAGAAACTAATAAAATCCAGTTGACTCGTACACCAAGTATTGAAAAATATCAGCCCGATTCTGTACCTGAGAAAGGACCTGATCAATTTCATTAACTAAAAATTCAAAAAATATCATTCAAGGAATGTTTCTTATTTCTTAGGTTTCAATTTTACTGAGAAACCAAAGTGCTACAGTTTCCAACTTGTTTTAAAACATAAAATATATATATATAAATTTTATTTTTCTTTATTAAAAATGAGGAAACCAATACAAGAGATGAGAACGTTACCAACGTCAAAGAATCCATGGTATTGTATATATATAGAGTTTTATCATTATTGAATTCATGGTACTATGGTCATGCAATTTTATTTATTTTTAATTAAAAATGAGGAAATCAATACAAGAATTGAGAACGTTACCAAGGCCTGTTGACGTTGATGGCGAGTGCGCACGGGACAGTTGCTCGTAAAGTTAGCATGCTTTATGATGGCCTGGTGCGTGCGGTTGTGCTCTCCTCTTTGTGTGATTTGGTTCCAAGGACTATGTGCCAAATATGATCATGTCATCTCCCTCTTTCTTGCAAAAGGTTTATCCTCGAATCAAATTTGTAACCTAAACATAAAATAATCAAGTTAGTGTGTTTAAAATCAAGATTTATCTTATACTTACCTTGTAGAGCAATCTTGAAGTCTAATCATACTCCCTTGAGTCTTCCTTTAATTTCATTTTAAAATATCTTGTTCTTTCCAAAATTGCTTCAAAATCCAATCATCTGGTTTATTGACTTTATGCGTTTGGGTTTCCTTGTCCTCCACAAGGTGCTTGACATTTTGAAATTAGGTCGGTAGCCATTGTTGTGGTGTCTTGAAAGCGTTATATAAAGCGAAGTAAGGCCCATTATAACTTTCCATCATAGTGAAACATGCATTTGCACCGGACTAAACTAAGGTTGGGGAACATTTTGACTTTTCTTTCTCTATCTCGTATTTCTTTTATTATTGATTAAACCGTGTTCTATTTCGTCCCATGGAAGAGATAACGAGATGGATATTCTTGTTGGATAGCTCTTATTGGAAGACTGCACGTCTTATTTCTCAACAAGTCCCTAGTTTTGATCGTGTCATGTTTTTATTTTAGGACACTCATACATGGTTTCACAAACACGGTTCGATTGGGTTCATCATTATTACAAAAGGCCAATCCAACTACGTATGACGAACCAAATCTTGAAGCATTGAAGATTAAATTTTGTAGCAGTGAATTAAAGATGAAGAAAACAAGACAAGAAAACTTATTCAAGACATACACGTTCCAATTTATTCCATTATTCAATGTACAGATACACACAACAAACACATGGACGCATATGTTATTAGAAAACATATATTACAGACACACTGAAGGTAAAGATCATTACTTGATCTACTCCGTGGACACTTTCACTGCATTACTACTCCACGAATTCCACACGAAATAATCATTGCATTTTACAGCATTGTAGGGGCAGTCTTCAAGACTGAAATCTTGCTTTCTAAAACACAAACTTATCTCATGCAACTGCACGTCACCACTCCAAAAGTTGTTGTTGCAACGAAGGGCTGGCCACTTTCCCGTTGCACTGTAAATTATGTTCTCCACATCACTCCTCGCATATAAATTTCCGTTTGGATACACATTGTAATAATTTAGAATACCCAGCACATCGTAATTGCCATATACAAACAGCCCAAAATCAAAGTAGTGGAACTGGTCCAAATACGCGTAAGAACAAGTCCCATGCAATGTCCACTCGTGGCTCCAAAACGGTGGGTCCACTCTGTGAACCACGCTTGGCCAATCTTGGTGCAGCCTAGCTCGGATACTGCTATTCAGCTGAAGAATCAATAAGTGTGAAGCTAATTTAAGGGGTGAAAAATACTTTAACTCCTTAGCGGTAAGAAGTAATCTTCTCTTTAGCGTCGTGTTAGACAACTAACAAAGAGAAATGCTGAAAGAAATATTTTTTTTCCTTTAAATAATGAGTTTTTTCAATTTTTCAATAGTGGCGGTCGTGGTCCTCACCATTAAGGAACCAAGTATTAAAAGTGTCATTTTGTTATTGAATTTATTAGGGTTTAACTATGGATAACTTGAGTTATTTATCATACCTCGAGACTTGAAAAATCGGTTGCACAACATTTTAATGACAAAGAGAAGGGATACATTTTGAGTGATTACCGATAGGTAGGTATCTCTTGCTTACCACCAATAAAATTTGAAAACTAAGAGATAAATAAAAGTAAACAATATGTATTTTACATTGGATCCATATTGGATTACCTTTTTTTATTGTTAATTAATTTTAAGATGGAAGCTATGAATATTGATAAAAAGAGATTTAAGTATAATTAATTTTTTAAAATCACCGTCCAAGTGATATGTACCTTAAAAATAAATTTAAAATGATTTTAGCACGATCAAATCACTCTTGCCACTGTCAAAATCACTTCCCTTCCCATTGATTATGTTTGACAAATTAAAAAATTGATTTTAGAAAAGTTTAAGGGTGTGTTTGGGAGTGATTTTGACATGGCCAAAATAACTTTTAGAAACTACTTACCTTTCCATTGGTCATATTTGACAAATTAAAAAATTTATTTTAGATTTTAAATTTATTTTTAAGGTATAAGTTAGATGGTGATTTTAGAAAATCAATTACATTTGAATATCTTTTTTTCAAAATCATTAATTCTACCATCACTCTCAAACACACCCTTAAACCTTCCTAAAATTAAATTTATAATCTGTCAGACGTGATCAATCGAAAAAAAAAAGTGATTCTAATCATAACAAAAGTGATTTTCCCAAACACACCATAGGTACGTGAAGTTGATTTTAAGAACAGTAATTACCTGAGTACCATCGTAGGGCGGAGTACCAGAACATACAGCATCTCCAGACAATAAGCTGGGCCACACGCCATGAATACTGAATCTCTCATCTGGAGGTTGCACACATTCATCTACAAGGGTTGAACTGCTACAAGTTGCGGGCTGCCATTGCAACACCACCTGGTAGTAATCAAATTCATTCACACCTTCCGACCATCCTATCAATAACAACATGCTCAAAATCAACACAATTTCTGATCTCTTTGCCATTTCTGATAGCTTAGCTAGGCTTTTGGTTTTCGAATCTCAATGGGTATGACATTTTTAACGAATTAGTGGTATTTATAATGCTTCTTCATCCTATATTATATGATTGATTATTATTAACTGTTTTGTAAGGTTTTCGTTTTCGTTTCTAATTTTCTTAAAAAATTTAATTATTTTACAATTAATTATATTTCTTGTTTCTTATTTTTTTTTCGAACATTCTCACAATTTTATGGAACTTTTTGAAACAACCAAAATAAGTTTCTTTCTTTTTTATTCTTATTTTCAATTTGTTTTAAAACATAAATAAAATGATTATCCTATCATACTTGAACGGATGGACGTTGGAGCCATGAAATTCATTTTTAAAAAATGAATAAACAGAAACAACAAATAGAAGACAAATCCTTTTCTGTCCCTTGTGCATTATTATATATCTTTTCTTTTTCACGGGCATCGTGTGACGGGATTAAGATGTTAATTTTTAAAAAATCTTTTATCTTTTTCATATGCATCATGTGATGGTATTAAGATGTTAATTTTTAAAAATTAAAAGAAAAAATAAAAGTCATGTTGAATAGATTATAGATTTAATTTACTCGGCCATGTGATGTGATTAACAGATTAAAATAATATTATGAATTAAATATCTGATTTTTGGATCATGTGATGAGCGTTGAAATTCAAAATGAATTGAAATCTTAATTATTTCCAAAGTTAATGTCTATCCTGAACCCAGGATAACTACTAATAATTAAAAAGTATTAATAATAAAATTACTTGGCCATGTGATTAACAAATTAAGGCAATATTGTGAATTAAATATGTAATTTTTAGAACATGTGATGAACATTGAAATACAAAATGAATTGAAATTTTAATTATTCCAAAAATCCCAAGATAACTACTAATAATTAAATAATAATAATAATAATAAGTACAATATTTTTACAATTTAAGCCTAACTCAACTAAAAAGTCTTCAGCTCCTTATATTATAATAAAAAGAAAATTATCAATTATATTTTTTCCTATAATTGTTGTTTTTTTCTTTTTTGAAATTTTATTTCTGTCCCCCAACTCAAATAGTTGTATCTAATACGTCTTTAAACTTTAAAAATTTTTTAATACCATCTAAAATTTTATTATTATCTCTAATATGTTCATCAACTTTGTATAAACTATTTAATATGTCCTAAAATTTTCATTATTCAAAGATTTATCTAAGAGTGACTAAATGTGGTCCATTATTGTCACTTGTGGAACATTATTATATAGTCCAGAGTTGAACACCAATGACGTGAACAATGAGCTGTCCGAGGGGAATCTTAAATTTTGTGAGTATTTGTACATAAATTAGATATATCATATTTAATGAGTAATAACGAAGCTTCAGTTTTTGTTGGCTTACATTCTCACTTTATGAATTTTTCGTTTATTTTTTTTTAATTTTTATTCTTTGAATTAAAAAAATTTGAAAATTTATTTCTATGTTTAAAACAAATAATTAAGACTTTTACATCTAGGGATTTTATATTGTAACTATATTTTTATAATAAATTCAAACTCTTAATTATTTCCAGTTTTATTATTATTTTTTTTATTTATATAGGTAATTCAATCGTATTTTATTTTGAACAAATTAATCTCAAGACATAACTTTTTTTGTTTTACAATAACACTTAGTATTTATATAAAACAAACTAATATCATGCATAATCATTTATTATAATTTAGTTTCAACATTACTTAATCTAAATGTTTATAATAAGTGCATGAAAAATTGGATTTTTTTACCTCTAAGTTAGAAAAGATCTATCAATTTTTAGCATAAACTTTCAATTTAATCGAATTTAACCTTAAATTTAGATAAGGGTCGCAATTTGACAACCGATTAATTTTTACTAATTCACTCCAATAATTAAAAAAAAGCAACGTAAAAATTTTAAAAACCCTAATTTAATAACAAATAAACTTTTCGAGAATTAAGTTCGAGTAATGCACAAAATCTAACACTATCAAAACTTATGAATTAAAAAAAATCCAACTCTATAGTTACTTTTCTAATCATATCAATTTTGTACCAAATATATATTTTAAATGCATGTTGATAAGTATAAGAATATTTTTTTAAGCAATATTATTCGAAATGAAATTTATTCAATTGCCGTTATTATGTTTTAAATTTGTATTATTGCAGATTATTTTTTATGATTTTTGTGATACTAATTTCACATCTGTCAAGACAATATTGAAAGTTTTGCAGAGTAAATATGATACTAAACAGACAAAGAGGGTCAAGATGAATTAATTCAATAAGGAAATGAGAATCCGACAAAGGTAAATATAATATCTTTTGTTGATAATTTACCTAATGGCCAAATTCCTAAGAATACTCATCTAAAGCCAAAGAAGAGCCGGATGAAAAATAATAATAAACCACATTTTTCAAAGAAGAAAAATAAAATCAAAGTGAATAAGAACCAATACATCCTCAACATTCAAGTTCAGTTTGTTTTGTTTGTGGTAAGAGTGGGCATGTTGCTCGATTTTACAAATTCCGGAAACATGAACCACTACCTCAGGCTAATGTTACCAAAGAGCCATTTGTGGTTATGATAACTGATTGATATATATATATATATATATATATAAAAGTGTTGATGGATGGTGCCAACAGACATGTATGCTATAATAAAAATTAGTTCAAAGTTTATAGTCATTTTAAGGAGACTAAAATAGTAATGCTTGGTGATTCTTGTACCACTCAAATTATGGTAACCGGTGATGTTGAGTTAAAATTCATCTCTACAAGAATTTTAATTCTAAAATATGTGCTTTATACACCCTCCACGAAGAAAAATTTGATATCGAGCTATCTTCTTAATAAGGTTGGCTTTTAATAGACTATAGATCATGATTAATATATGATAACTAAAAAATGAGTTTTTTTTTTGGGAAAGATTATGCATGTGATGAAATGTCGAGATTATTATTTCATAAGTAAAGGTTCAATGCATGATCATACCTTTATGATAAGTAATTGTCTTTCTTTTGGTCAATTGATTTTAATTAATTTAAATATAAAAAATGAGCAGGAGAGTGTTGTTACATCTTAATATTTACTATTTATTATTTGTCAGAGTTTTAACTTTTAAATTATATATTTTTTTAATACAACATGTTGGGTGGGAATCGAACACACAACCTGTTGATTGGAAATATATGTAAATTACACTGAGTTATGCTCGCTTTGATAAGTTAAAAAAAAATTATTTATTTTTTCTGCACGTTACTAGATCTACAAATCTTATAAATACACTCTAACCACACTTTCAATTCATACCCTACAGCTCACACAACTCATTATTTACTTTCTCCAATTTTTTCTATTTTGCTTCTTTTAGAGCAATTAGTTAATATCACGTGCCTTGCACCTGGTTTTAAATATTTTAATATAATATCTCTAACAATTTAAGATATAAAATTACAACTAAACATGAAAAATAAGTATTTATTAAGATGTGGAGGGCAAAATTGGAAGGCAAAGATTCTTCTTCATAACTGGTACTAGCAACAATCGTGTGCAATCGTGGAATTAAAGGTTTGTTTTCCAAATATATTAAAAATAATGTTTAGAAAATTTACGAAAACTTAAAAGGCAAAACAACTTTACCATTTGATTGTGATGTTTCATCCATATGCAGATGATAACCTTTCTTTGTGTAACCACATCTAATGGATTAAATTCTCTCAACGAACATATTTACATGAATAATTTGCTCTTGTCAATAAATTTTTGAAAATTTAAATTGCAAAATAGGAAAACAAAAACCCTTATAATATGAAAACTAATACAATAATCTAATATGTAAATAATTAATTTAACAAATCAAGTAATAAATATTCATGGTTAAGTACCCAAGTTAGTTAATAAAGACATAAACATAAAAATAAACATGAAATAAGGAATTTAAACGTAGTTATGACATATACAGCAACAATCAAGAGTCTATATTACCAAGAATACAAACATTAATAAACTAAAATAAATCATTAATATATTAATATAAAAATGTAATTTTATACTCTACCTCATCATCAAATCAAATAAATTTATGGATTCTTAGATCTCTAGTATTTCTCTTGCAAATAACGAAAAATTTTCATTGCAAGAGAAAATCCTTCATAAACATTTTGAGAGGGAAAAATACACAATTTTATGCATGGTATTTTCTTTCATGTTATATAGATGTTTGTAATCACACCTATTTGGGAATGGATATTTCATTTCATCAATCACACCTCTTGGCCGATTAACTTATCTATCTAAAAAAAATACATCGGTCTACTATATTATATATAAACAATTATCAATCTCAATCGCACACATATGTGAATGAACACATCACTTCTCTCAAGAGATACCTCGACCCAACAGTTGCATCCAATATAAGTTTCAAATGTAAAATAGGTATTTATTAAAAAGTGGAGGGTAAAAATGGAAGCAAAGATTCTTCTCCATAACTCCATTTATATATACTAGTTAATATCACGTGCATTGCACGTGGTTATAAACATTTTAATATAATATTTTTAACAACTTAACATATAGAATAATAACTCAACCGAACTTTTAAATTCACTAATATTTTGTTTCAAATAAAATATATTTAATATAATATTTCTACCAATCTAACATATAGAATAACAACTCAACGGAACTTTTAAATGATACTAATATTTTGTTTCAAATAAAATATATTATTCGTTGTCAATTTTTCTTTTTTAAGAAAACAACAATAATCTTTTTGTGTGTTTTCTTAAATTATTTACTCATTCTTTTATCTTTTGTATATTATGTAATAAGGAAGAATGAACGAAAATTAAAGAATTGAAATTTGAGAGAGAAACTAAATACTATGTATGTCATGAGATCATTGAAAAAATGTGGAATAAAGAATCACATGACCAAGAAAAATAAAATAAGAACAACAACAATCAAGAAGTCGTATTAAGATAAATAAGAAAACTAATATAAAATATAACATGAATATATTTTAAAACGTGCAAAGAATCTTAACTAAATATTAAATCAAACTTGAAAATAACATTAACTAAATATTAAAACACGAAGGTATTATGAATATATAACTTAAAAGTAATCCACATAAAAATATTAAAATAATCTAAAAGAAATAAAAGTYGAAGATAATACGAATACATGATTTTGTTACTCTACCTCTTAATCGATTAAATATGTTTTTTGAGATGGTTCAGTTTTCACTCACAAAAATAAGAAAAATTTTCATTAATATTTTGGAAATGAGTTTTAGGTCATAAAAGAAAAAGACATAATCTTTCATTTTATAGATTATTTGTTATGACACCTATACGTGGATAGATGCATCACTGAAATTCATTTTCGTCGCTTAACCAGCAACAAAATCAAATTTCATCACTGCACAAGCGACGAAAATTGTTTCGTCGCTGCAAGAAGCAACGAAAACGTAAATCAAATTTCGTTGTAACCAAGATTTAATTGGGCGCCACTTTTGGCGCTGTTTTGGCATTGTACGACGGAACGCCAAAACGACGCTGTTTTAATTTCTCCTTAAGACAACTTCGTTTTGGGGGGGCGACAAAAAGTTTTTCGTCGCCCAACCCCTTCAAACCCGAGGCCCCCTCCCTTCTCCTCCATTTTGTTTTCTTTCTTCTCCTTCTTCTCCCCTTTTCGTCTCCACCGCTGCTGCCTACCTCCGAGGTGTTTTTGCCGTCGGTTAGTTCTTAGTTTTTGTGTAGAATCGTTCACGGTTTGGGGTCTCTTTTTGCCGGAGTTATTTCATCGATTATTCTTGTGCATCGAAGGATTTACCACTAGGTACAAATTTTTCTCTTTTCATTTTATTTAAAGTAGGATCATTGTTTCAATTGATTTACAAATGTGCTATGTTTTATGTAAATAATTTAATTTGTTTTAAATATACATGTATGAAATTTACTTTTAATTTTATTTAGACTTTGCTTGGAATTATTGATTCATTCGTTGTTGTGCATATAAAAATTTAACACTATTAATTGGTGCAATATTTTTCACTTTTGATTTCATTAGATGCTGTCTACTCGTATTATGTTTGAAATTGAGTTGAAATTTTATTTAGAATTTGCGAATTTTAAGAATATTGTTATTAAGTTATTATAGAGTTAAATTATTAATGAAATTTGTTTGTTTAAAGTTTCTTTTTAGATTATTCTATGTTTGGAATTAGTTTTGTTGCTTAGAATTTACTTTAAATTATATTTTAATATATTTGCTTTTGTTTGATATAAAAATGATGATCTTACCCATTAGAATTTGTATACGGTTAAAAAGTTTAGGATCGTTAAACTTATGATTTTGTGGTATATTTTTTTTTAAAATTCATACTTACATTTGTTTAATTATGTTGTGATGAATTGTATTATACTTTGACTAGGAAAAGTTATGGATAAAAGTTGGATAAAAAGTCCGGATAGGTTAAGTAGAGAGGGTTTACACGTTGCCCACGTAGGAAATGCCAAAACTTAGTATGGAAACGACCATGTGATGTTGAAGGTCATTGTACTCATATGGAATGTGTCCTTATTATAGGATATGGACTTTTCTTGGGGAAACTCCAACGACGAAAACGTTTTCGTTGCTAAACTTAGCGACAAAAATCATCACTGGTACTAGGGATTGGCCTTTTCGTCACGCGTGTCCACTAATGATGGCTTTCACACGATGTGTCTAGCAACGAAACTACTTTCGTCGCTATTGACCATCAACGACGAAACTGAAACTTCAACGACAAAATATTTTCATCTCTGAAGCTCATTTTCCTATTTTGGCTCTTAATATTCTTGAACTCTCCATGTAAACCTGTGAGTTCTTGAAACTTCTAAACCCAGTTCTTCTGCAACAAAATATTATTTACACTTATCGACTAAAATTACTTGGTGTCCCATTAAATTAGTTTTATTTATATATGAGAAAGAATAGATTTTGTAATGGATAAGTAGAATTTTTTCAAAAACGCAACCCCAAAATGTGTGACCATTCTTTTTCTTCTGAACCTTTTTACTGTTCATAATTATCATAAAATCCCCAAATTAGATTACATAGGTCAATTACCATATATATATCCAACACTGTCGGAGCGTCCTCCAACTATACGCCTTCAGCATTCTCCTCCACCGCGTGCTTCGTCGCCTCACGTGCCGCTCGATTACAGCTTCTACCACAATTGGTAAAGCTCAACTCTCTTAGATTCTTCGAAAAGGCAATAATTTCATCAATAATCAGTCCTAACTGAGAACGATTTTCCTGGTTCCTTGTTAGCTTTAATTAGGGTGAAAACTCTAAGGGAACCAGTTTCAATAATCCGTTGATTAAAGCCCATTTCTATTGCATACATATATTTTCCCTGCCATGGCCTTTGCTTCATCTACCGAAAGCAGACCCCGATAACACTATAAGAAGGTAAGATAAACCTCTCCCCTCAATCTAAATATATTAATGAATCAATAATTTAATGATATATTTAGTTCGGTAAACAAATGTTTTATAAAATGTCATAATTGGAATTTTGAATTTTTTATGCACTAAAAATAAAATTGATAATTTCGAAAAAGATCAAGGACCAAATGGTGGGCTACCTAAAAGATTACGAACCTTTCAAGTTAGATTAAAAATAAAAGTAATAATGTGATGACTCACTGCATATTTAATTTTTAAATCACAGTATTAGGTTCACATGACAAATAATGAAACCCACTCCCCAACAAATTTTGTCATCTTTCAACGTCGTAGTATCTATATCTTTTAATTATCTACAGAGTTGTAAAGAATAAAACGAAATAATTGCACAAGTTTAGCCAACGAGTACGAAGCGACAACCCTCACGTTTCTAATACTATATTCTAAAAAAAGAGAGAGATAAATATGATTATTTATTAGCATAAAACTAATCTAGTATTCGATGTCAAAAAAATAATAATAATAGTAAAAAAAGCTTATCTAGTGTTATAATGTTACAGTAGTTGGGACTTATGCTCTAAAGTGTTGACCACTCGAATGAAGCACGTTACTAAACCAGACGTTTGCTTTGAGCGCTAGGAATATTGGTAGGAAAGAACACAATCCACAATTGGATGTTTTCAGGTGGCTCCTGTAGCGTCGACCACTGTAAGAGCATGTTGTAGTTGAGCTTCTAACGGCTACATCACTACTTCATTAAATGTAGCCCGTGGAAGGTTTGGTAGCTTGAATATCCCTTCGAAAAATTAAAGAAATCTTAATTCATGATTATTCTAGAATAAAAGTCATAAAATTTCAGAACAATCAAAACCAAGGATCTAAGTATGAAAGAAAACCAAAATCTATCAAGAGATTAGAATTACCTATAACCATTAGATAAATTGACCATGAACGACAAGAAGTTGTGGTTTGTGGTCTTCCTCAAATATGCAACCCGGACCAAATATGGGCAATACTATCTATTTGATGGGGAACAGAAGTGTATTGGGGACCATAACCATATATTTATAGGTTAATCTTAGGGTTTCTCATAATCCCCTACGATTAATGAGTTGGTTTCTAGTCAGCAAGCCACACCACTAAATGGGAAGTCATGAGTCAATCACTTATGTGCCCATAAATAGCTCAAATACAATTGCTCTTTAATTTGTAACCCACATATGAATTAATTATTAAATTAAATTCCAACAATCTCCCACTTGGGTAATAATTTTCTTTATTAGCAATTATATTAATTTATTATTTAGTGCACAACTCAATGCTATTAAAATAAACTTCCCTTTAATCACAATCTGGTCCATCTTGCATATCGATGAGGAAACAATCGTAGGCTAATGGTACAGGCAATAACCTCTTCAAGCCCGTAAGCTAAGCAAGGCAAGGAATGGATTAGATGGGCCGTGCCAGGGCGATAGGCGCGCCGCAGTCACGCATTCGAGTAAGAGCTTTTGCCCAAAGCGGCTTTTGTCACATGTATAGTCGTGACTCAGCCTTCAATGATTACCACACCAAATATACTCAATGACATGGATCAAGTGTAGAAGAACAACATGGGAATATGATCTAAACATGTCTATTCCCAACTGATCCAACTTTATTCTTTAAGGAGATCAAAATTTATGGTCGAAATTGACCAAATATACTAAATGACATGGATCAAGTATTATGCTCGAAAAACATTTTGTGAAAGTCCTTAATGAGCAGATCCGCAATGATAGAGTTGCATTTCTTTAGACACAAAAACACTCTGAATTTTCTTTATCACCTAAACCTCAAATATTCATATAAAAGCTTTTATTGCTGTAATATGGAGAAAAACAAATCTTTGTCAAAATAACCTAATGACAAAATTTGACAACCATATTCTTAAGTTTGTTGCCACATACAAAATGCTATGAACACAAACTTTAGTGGTAAAAGGAACTAAAGTGACTCTCTACCACGAGATAGTAGTATCCTCTAACCAATTACTGAATATAGCCTCAAAGGTCGATCTAGATGGCAACTCAAATTATCAAAATCAAATAGTCTTATGATATCTAATTAATATGATTTTGATGAGTGAGCATGTAACCTTTTTTGTTAAGCACCTTATAACTCTTTAGATCCAATTAAGAGTCATCCAAAATTGCCTTTCATTCTTGATATGAATACTCCAGCGGAAGCATATAGGCTTTAAGCATGAATTTTCTATTTTACTTTATTATTCAAGGGACTTCTATTGAAATTGAGTTTGTCTCCACTAGTGATTTCAATATCCCCTAGTGCATAAATCTTTAAACTAGAGAACTTGCAATAACTTTCAACATAGCTCTTTTGTGAATTCTAAATGTTACCTGAGATTGATCTTACAATATCATTTCACAATATAAAAGAGATATGTTCATGCAAGTTTTCATCCTCTAACAAGCCTTTATTATGTCACAAACATTTATATTAGACAAATAAATTTACTCACACTAATCCTGTAATTCATAATTATTATTCTTATTACCTTCTGATATTACATATGATAATATCAATATGTAATGAAAATTATGAATTTACAAATAAAAATTCCTCATTGAGATCACAGATGAATTATAAACCTTTTGAAACTTTATGTTACTATATCAAAAGTCTTCAAAATATACAAGTTTATTGATTTCATAAATTATACAATTAAGAAAGCAATCTTTAGATTCATCTAGCACATCTCAAAAAAATTATAAATATTATTATTTACTTGTAAGAACTTTTCAAAAAGTCATAGAAAAGATCTCAAAAAATTAATATCACCTTTAAGAATTGAAACCATAACAACAAGATGAGCCTTATATTTGTTAACAATTCATTTTAAAAGCAATATAACAAAATGTAAAATATCTTCGTTGGTTATTGTTTCACCACATTCTTTATGACATTAATTTTTCTTTTTAAAAAATAAGACTTTGTTTGACTTTAGAGAATCTTTATGATCAAACTTAAATCTTTATAATCATATTTCTCATATCTCTTCTAATTATTTTAATGACATTTTTAATGATGTTGAGTTTGTTTTACTAAAATGAGGAGAATTTTTATTCTTTATTAATATTGTTATAAAGAGAAAATAACTAAATTTCTCTTAAATACAACATTCTTTACTTTATCTTCCCCCAAACTCAACATCCTTAAGAAACTTTAAGATCTCATCCACATCAACTTTAAGTGGGAACTAACTTTAGAAATTATATATATTGAAAAGACTAGTGTATCTAGTAGAGTGACAACTAAAAACCTTAAGTCTAAGTCTCCCAAAACCTTGACTTGCAAGTGATTTTAGTTGTTTCTTTATTTGGTACACCACTTAAATTTTTTTTTGTAACAATCTTGAGTGATTTCTTCAAATAGACCGAGGGTAAGAATAAATGATTTGTCATACTTCTTACCACACATTTTTTAGCTTTGAATCATCTTATAAGCAATATACATCTCAGGTTTACCTGGAAATATATATTACTTATTAGCTCTATAAATCCTTAAAGGAGTTAGCAAATGTCCTAGACCTTATCTTCCTAATACATCATATTTCTGAATGTTTTCATTAACTACAAATTTATATGTTGACTTTTAAGATGTCTAGGAATAAAGACTTCTCCTATATCAGATATTGGTGTCCTTAACGAGAATAAATTTCTTAAAACTTTATGCAATGTTGTTAAACGTTTGAAGAAGCCATACTGAATAGGCTATAAATGACTATTCTAAAATACGAAAGCTCTCAATAGTACCTAACTTGAAAATTCCAATTATGTCCCGTTGATCATTCCTAATACAAACTTAGATGTCTGTTTAATCTTGAGAATCAACAAGCAATGACTATAAACACCAAATTCTATTAAACACATATGATAAGTTTTCATATGCAAGTCTAGCTTGTTAAATACCAAAGTGAGAAGTCATATTTTCTTTATACCTTATGTGGCGACGTATTTGAAACATTTTTTCCTATATGTTATCAAGAGAAGTCCTAAGCTTGATTCTTTTATGATTTAGGCTAACATATGTTCCAAATAAACCTTAGTACCAACTTTAATTTCTTTCTTTATGGAAATAATTAATTAATGAGTACATTTTATATTTTCTTACTTAACTCGGTTTACTTAAAACATATGGTTAGAAATTAGGTTATTAAGAGTTCAATATCTACCCGTATAACTATCATAACCCACTACATACCACTACAGTATAGTGTTAATAAGTATCAAATACACAAGTAAATCCTTCAACATTTTAAATTTAGTGCATCTGATCATTTAGTGTAGTCCATAGTGTTCCTTTATTCTATATTAAGACATAGTAAATAGAAAAGATTAAATGTCTATTCCTTGTGTAATTTTTTCAAAATAATCCTTATACCTTAAGGAATTTTCCTAATTATTTCCTTATTAAACATAATCCCCTTGAATGTTGCAAAATATTGTCATAATATTTATGTAATTAAGGTTACTCGCACTTTTCAAGATTCCAATTAGACCTTAGAGGCATATTGATTTGCAAAAGTAGAGGTTTTTCCTTTCTTTATCACAAGTCAAAAATTCACTCAAACTTGAATAAAAATTATACTTAAATACACAATAAGCAATTAAATAATATTTAAGTATTCACTCAAACTCATTCAATAATAGAACATGCTCGAAATTGACCTTAAGTATTTATAAAATTACTTTATATTTAAACTCAATGAGGACAACAAGATACCTAGCACAACATTGATAGGCTTCCTTTGGGTCGACAATATCAACTTCCAAGTAGTACTCTCAATGTGGTGATCAAACATT